TCTTTACCGCAGCAGGAATAAGACCCAAGGAGTCATTGTAGCAGTTCTAACAGTTCTAATTCTAAAATCTATCTATATATACTCTAATCTATAGATGAAAAAATAGATCGTATAAATAATTTTCTCCTATCACATCTTCACCGTACCAAGACTTCACTGCGTAGCGTAAGCACAGGGCGAACTTGTCGCCGCGACCGCTAGGTGGCCAGCCGCGAGTCGCGGTTCTCGCAACGACAATGGGCCCCGCGAGTATAAATACACGGTCGCGACGCGCGAACGGCGGCCACGCTTCCGCTGGCGTATACGGTTGTAACCGATATTGCAGAAAGCGGAGACGTGCTCCCATTTTTGATGTTAGGGGATAGCAAGTTGGTTCCGTACCCGCACCCCTAAGTCCCAAATTTCAAACCCCTACTGTTTATCGACGGACGAAGTTGCTTTCGCAGTCGTTCGCCGATAACCGCCATATTTCCTGCCCTGCACATGGATCCCACCATCCCTGCCTTGCTCAGGGATCCCACCATGGTGACATCCCGATGGAAGCTCCCACCCGAGTCACAGTCCCCTGATTGTCCCAGAGCCTGCGAAGTGCCCGGACTCCTGACTGCCCCTGCCACTGATTGTCCCAGAACCTTGAGTGCCCCACACCCTTGAATGTCCCACTACTGATTCCGAGACAGAGGAGTGCCCTAGACCCTTGAACGCCCCACATCCGTAAATGACCCTACCCTGAATGTCCCACATCCCTGAATGACCCCCACCACTAATTGTCAAGGACCCAGGGGAGTGTCTAGACCCCTGAATACCCCGCATCCGTAAATGCCCCATATCTTGAATGCCCCACATCCCTGAATGACCCACGCCACTAACTGTCAAAGACCTAGGAGAGTGCCCTAGACCCCCGAATACCCCACATCCGTAAATGCCCCATACCCTGAATGCCCCACACCCCTAAATGACCCACGCCACTAATTCTCAAAGACCAAGGGGAGTGTCCTAGACCCCTAAATACCCCGCATCCATAAATACCCCATACCCTGAATGCCCCACATCCCTAAATGACCCACACCACTAATTATCAAAGATCCAGTAATTTCCCCTATATGTACATCATATATTCGCTTATATCGCATAGATCATTTTCGCTTATATCGAGACTTTACTGTACAAAGAAATCTTACGCATATAGCCGGGTAATCCTCGACAGGACGTGGCGGTGTCAACGGTTCAAGGAACTAGGACGTCCGATATTAAATTCTCGTAGCAAGGCAAGAAATCCCGACGTCATCTCTGCAACGAAGGAGATTTTTTCGCGAACGCGTCTCGCAAATATTGACACGATATTTTCAACTGACGTTTCATGCTGCACCGTCTCTCTATCTTAACGAATTCCATCGGTCATAAAAGACTTTAATCTTTTTCTTACTCATTTTACTTCTCCCATTATTATCCTTCGTCGTCTTTCCTGCAGACTTCGCTACGGTTCTGCAAAATAATCTAATCGGTCAAACTACATCTTGGGTTCTATTATGAAATACAATAAGTATCCTGCTGTTTTTAAGTTACTTTGTTGCATAAGTCAATTCTGTGCGAATTTGAGGGTTTGAAGCTCTAACCATTGCAAATTTATGACTGGAAAAATTAGAAAGTAACAAATTTTAAGAAGTTCCAAATTTCTAAAACAATATTTAGTGAAAATATCCTGCATCCTGCCTAACTGTAGCCTCTCCATTTTAGGCGCAGTCCAGATCCGGTGCCCCTCACATTCCACCACTGTGCATGCAATAATGGAGGTCGAAGACAAGCGATCAGACGGACGAGATCGGTCCTTTTTTCCCTCCGATCTGTTCCATTCCGTGGAAAGTAACTGGGAGAATGAATAAGGGTACATTGGACAATGAAGGGCCATGGTTGTCCCTTTCGTCGGCACCTATTTGCCAGATTGTGCAGCTTTTGTCCATTTGAATCAGTCAGCTAACAAGTTTCTGCTCCCTTATCCAGTCACACTGGTGAATCGATGAAGTTGCAAAAAAAAAGGTTTAACGTCAGCCATCGGCTGAAAGGTCGTTCCTTCATCGATTACGAATGGACTGAAAGGGAGGAAAGGAACAGGAAGAAGGAAAATAATAGAGAAAGGGGTAAAATGAGCAACGGAACGGAAGAAGATGAAGACCGCAGCCTTTCATGACCGATGGAATTCGTTATCATGCATTCATGTCATTGTATACTTAATGACAAAAACTTGAGGAATCATAGCCTGGTAAATTACGGAGGAATAGGGGGTTGAAGTTCAATAGGGGTGAATAGTTTCTATAATTAATTCAAGGATTTTTCTGTAATGAAATTCGGGGATTTTTGGTCGGAGTTGTTTTCAAATGTATTTTGTCTTTTTCAGTGGTTTTAAAATACATGTACAGAATTGCACCAGATTAAGTATATTGGGATTTTGGGGATTTTGGGGTTCTGGGATTCAGAGACTTTAGGGTTTAGGAATTTTGAGACTTAGGGGTTTTGGGATTTGTGAATTTTGGGGATTTTAGGGATTCTGGAGATCTTGGGGATTTTGGGGTTTAGGGGTTTAGGGTTTTGGGATTTGGAGACTTCAAAATTTTGGAATTTGGGATTTTGGAATTTTGGGATTCTGGAATTTTAGAATTTTGGAATTTTGGGATTTTGGGAATTTGGGATTTTGGGATTTTGGGATTTTGAGGTTTTGAGATTTTGGGATTTTGGGATTTTGAGATTTTGAGATTTTGGAATTTTGGAATTTTGAGATTTTGGGATTTTGGAATTTTGGGATTTTGGGATTTTGAGATTTTGAGATTTTGAGATTTTGGGATTTTGGAATTTTGGAATTTTGGAATTTTGGAATTTTGGAATTTTGGAATATTGGAATTTTATGGAATTTTGGGATTTGGGGTTTTGGGGTTTTGGGGTTTTGGGGTTTTGGAGTTTTGGGGTTTTGGGGTTTTGGGGTTTTGAGTTTGGGGATTTGAGGTTCTGGGATGTGGGATTTTGGGATTTGGAAATTTGGGAACTTGACCAATGACCAATTTTCTGAAATTCTAAAGTTTTATAGTTCCCAAATCCCCAGATCCCCTAAATTCTCCAATCCCAAAACATCCAAATCCCCAAATCATAAAGTCTCTAAATCCCAAAATTCCCAAAATCCCCAAAATCCCCAAATGTTCAAATCCCAAAAATCCCAAAATCTTAAAATCCTCAAAATTCCCAAATCCTCATATTCCAAAAATTTCAAAATCTTAAAGTCCCCAAATCCCAAAATTCCCAAACCTCGAAATCTCCAAATCTCAAAATCCCTAAACCAATAAACCAATTGCCCACAGTCCCTAAATCCCTAAATCCCCAAATCCTTAAGTCCCAAAATTTCAATATCCCAAAATTCCCAAACCCCAAAGTCCCTAGTTCGCAATTTCCCAAATTTCTAAATTCTCAAACTCCCCTTCCCATGCCTCGCACGACAACATAAAAATCTTTGAACTATATTTAGCTCTCCAAAGCCCTTGATTCAGTTCCGGCTTTAATTCTTTTCCGATCAAATCCTCGTAACCAATTTCACAAATATTACTACCATCTATTAAAGCTGTTGAATTGGCCCGGTTAAACAGTAAATACTTCAAACCGATCCTGAGGATTGTACGCTGTCCACCCATCAATTCTCCATCGGCACCCACTTTAATCCTAGGAATTTAGGGATTTAGTTTGGCAGCTCTAAGTGACAGTGGCGGTATCTATGCAATGTGTCCGCAACTGACATAATACCGTTTGCATCATGTATAGTAAGTTGCTTACGCTTGAAATTGTAGTACACTGTATTGCAACTACATCGCAGAGGAATGGAGTGTTAAATTGTGTGCTTATAGAATAGCTTTTTATGCCATATAACTCGAGGATTTTATAATTGAAAGCTGTGATGGTCTTTTTTATCAAAATATGTACACAAAGAGAGATTTTTAATACTTTAATTTTTAGTCAAATTTACATCACTGTTAACAAGGTTATTATACTTTAATATAAATTTTTTTCTATCTCACTTTTGAGAATTTATTAAGAGTCTATTATTTATTAAAAATTTATAATTTATATATATATTATTCGAAAAGTTAAAGTTTATGAATTAAAAATTTATAAAAAAATTTAAAAAGATATAATGTTATTTATTAAAAATAAAGAATTCAAAATTAGCTAACAAAAGTAATGAGCAATAAAATCAGTGTTAATTAATTTTTTTTTTATGAGACTGGTAGCGCCATCTCTCCGGCGAACGGGGTGAACTACACACTTTTGAAACACTAGTTTCATTAGTTCCCATATTCTGCCGCTAGATGGCAGCACATAAAAGGAAAACCTTCATTACCATAAGAATTATTCAAACTTAATAATGATTTTGTAAAGTAAAACATTCCAAAGTTAATTAATTTTGCACTCTGATGTAGTTTGATGCATATTGAAGCTAATTAAACCGATAAAATCAGTATTAATTGGGATTTTTTAAAATTGAACACGTGGCGCCATCTCTCCGGCAAACGAGGTGAACTACGCACTTTTGAAACAGCAGTTTCGTTAGTTCCCGTCTTCTACCGCTAGACGGCGCCACAGGCATCGTTTCAATTTTTATTTTATTGATATAGTTGATTTTATTAGCCTAATTGACTATAACATTCATCAAATTTCATCGCAGTGCAAGAATAATTAATTTACAATATTCAATACGATGTAAATGTACCTATCTTTACTAAGAAACACAATTAGTTATTTCTACAGTTCCATAACTCAATTCCAGATGACTGTAGTCGCGCCATTTCAAGAAAGCGCGCGAAAATATAAATTTTGAACAATACATAAAAATATAACTCCCAAAATGCTTTCAATTTTTATAATTAATTACTTTGTCATAAACTACTGTGTCTTATCTTTATTTTACATGTTAAATCACATTAAATCATCCTTCCATTATAAATATTAACTTGACCTTCAGATACAGTTATAAGGAAACGTTAATTTTCCTTCTATAGTTCTAAGAACCACTTTTCTGGAACGTGTAGTATTAAGACATCCTCTCTCATAAAGTAAGCATGTAATTATGAAAATTTTATTAGTTATTGATTTTGAAAGTGGTTTCTATATATTTGACATAATACATGACCATTCGCGAGTGTAATAACGTGTATTGGAAACCCGTTTCTACAAATATGTCAGATTTGTTCTTGAATGTACTATTGTACAGTACTGAGGAAAATAGAAGTAAATGAAGGTAGAAATTGTTTTGAAAAAGGTCACCTATAATTATTTTCCCCTCCACTCGACGTGTAATCATATCATGACGTGCTGCCGCACGCGCAGTATCAGTCAGGTGGCGAAAGAGAAAGGAAAGGGGAGAATTAATTATTCCCTGATTTTCTCTGTCGTACTAGTGTAACGGATAAATAGTTGAAATAATATTACAATAATATGTGATCACAACAATGTTTTCGGAATGCAGTTAATTGTGTCGTTCGTATAAGTCGATTTCAAAAACAAGATAAAGGAACGCACGTTTGACATTCTTCCAGTATGACTTGAACGCACAGCGTACATGCATGATTTTAATAAAAAGTGTGTTAAGATATACATGTCATTAACAGTTGCTTACAACAATACATTTACTGCATCGATGAGTTCAAGTACGTGCTAATAACGCTAATTGACGGCTAATTGGTTGCAATATACATGCCTCGTAAACGAAGAAAAAAGCCACTTGCATAAAAGTATGACAGAAATACGAAAATTAATACGATAAAGCGATTAGTTTATCGAGCTTCTGCTTTTGTAATTAAAAGCAAAGTGTACACGATGGCACCCACGAGAGATAAATGGGTGAGGCGTTTTATTATTCCTGAAACAACAAGGCACAAGAAAGGGTTTACTATTTACAAAGTTACATCTGTGGTATGATATATATGTCAATATCAACTATAACATCATCCAAATGTTCAATGAAAATTAAAGAAAGATAGTTTCAAAACTGTTTGATGAGTAAATGATTACTTTTTCATGTTAATATTTGGTTTAAATATTCTTAAACATAGAATAATGAATTGACTATACACATTACTCATTTGCATCAATAACATAACTTAAAAATCACAATATCAAACTAGTTTTACACATTTGCTCCCAGCATTACTACATGTAATATCTTCGATATCTGATATGGGATCATAATTCATTACTTCGTATACCTTAAACAGAAAATCAAAGCCTGTCATTAATATAGTGTAGATCAGTTTACAATGGTTTTAAATTTCATTGTTTCATCGCATGTATTTTATAACAAATTTTCAGTTAAATGTCTTTACTTAATTTCTGTTAACAAATTTAATAATATGTTCAATGATTCATATTATACTTCAATATAGAAATATAATTGGCAGAAATAATGTTCTCAATTATTTTCTAGGTATTTTTAAAAAGTTCTCATGAAGAAATTTCTAAAGTATCTGTATGGAAACGTTATAATGACTTCAAGAAGCTTCATTCAGAATTAAGTATTTTGTGCTCAAGATCTCAAATTAAAGAAGCCTTCCCATTATTTCCGAAGCCAAAGTTTTTTGGCAGGTTTGAAACAGAAGTTATCGAAGAAAGAAGAGAATGTGCATTAAAGTTTTTAGAATTTATAGGAAGACATTCATACTTATATTCTAGTGATATTTTCATAAAGTTCTTTGAAACTAGTCACGCGGATTACTGTTTAAATGACTGCTCGCAATCTCTTAGTTCTGATACGTCGGCAGAGGATGATCATCATGCTTGTATAAATTCTGTGCCTCCTAATGGTATTGTTTCCAAAAATATTCTTCAACCTAAAAGTATTCAAGCTCCATTGATTAATCCACCCATTCCAAAGGATGAAATAAATCAACCACAAGACACTTGGAAATCTAAAGAACAATTTTCACAACTAAATGATTTAGAGAATGAAAGATCCATAAAAGAAAGTACATGTAATAGTTTTCTTGTAAAAGATGATAGCTTAAATAAAATTACATCTAAATTAGAGGATAATCAATTAGTTTTTAATAAAAATAACAATTTGTACAAAGATAAAAATCATAATGTTAAGAATGGAAAGGATTCTACAGTTGTTCAAACATCAAGTAATAATGTTACTGTTGATTCTACTCCCGAAGAGTTAAATTTTTCAATAATAGCACACGATGGTTCTGACCTACCACAGTCATGGCCAGAATCCTCACAATACATTTTAGTTGCAGCCGCACATATGAGCGCAGCATTTAGGCACGAAGATCTTATGGAATACGAAGAAGCATTTACTCAGTACAAAATGGGAATCTCTAGTCTACGATCTGGTGTTGAATCTGATTCAAATAAAATAAGAGCAGGCATAATAAAAGATAAAATATCAAAATATTTAGAACGTGCAGAGAAGCTGTATAATAGATATTTAAATTGCAATGTTTCATTGCTGAGTAAACCTATATCGGAACTTCAGTATTACAAAGTTCTAAAAGTTATGAAGTCAGTGATGCTTGTAAAAGATATTCGCCAAAATTGCCTCAACATTGTAAAAGTACGAACAGTTTAAAAATTAAATAATTTAAATAGATGTATAAAATAAATATAGAATTTAAATAGATGTTTTTTAATGATTTCAGACTGTAGAAAAGTTGTCCACAAATAAAGAGAATATAAGTGACTATATATTGCGTGGTCAAATACCATACATGGTACGTTTACATGCGTGTGTTGAGACAGAAACAACGATATTTCTGATTTTACAGCATCTGAAGTGAGTATTCAAAATATCTGTCCAGTTACTTAGTTAAGATAATTATAATATGATGACTTAATTTTATTATAGTCGCGGAAAATTGTGGGATTTTATAACATCGCATTACAATACTAATAATAATAAAATAATTACGGGAAATACTGTTGCAGAAACAATTGATGATAATAACGTTATTTTAAGAAAAAGTGACGTACAGAATGATATTAAAAACAGTATCATAAAGAAAAATTCGAACTTTATAAGTACAAATCCAAAAGTACAAATGGAAGAAGTACATTCAGTAATAGATGAAAACTATAGTGATGTATCTACTACCCAATTATTAGAGAAAGCACAAATATTGTTGCAGTCGGTTAACGCAACTTTGAAAGAAAGTAATTCTGTTGTAAATCGGTTATGCGAATCTGATAGATTGATAAACCACCAAGGTAACACCTCGTTGTTGAATCTTAAAAACAGTGTACACCGATCTAAAAGTTGCAAAGAAATACCTTTAGATATTAACGATATCTCGCTAAAAATCGATGACGTAAACGATAACTTCAAAAAGCAAAATATATCTGAAGAAAGTGTGATAACTTCTAATTATTCAACGCTACGTAATATTAAGAATACAAAGAGTCAATGTAGTACCAATAATTCATCCTTAAGCAATAGTGATAAAAATCTAAATTTTGATGAGAGAGGGTCAAATGATTCTTCAACAGGTAATTTAAAAACGATCGATACGTATTTTGCAGTTGACTCCAATTGCATTGACAGTGTTGCAAAACATGAAGTAAACGACACAATAGAGATCTGTAATAAAACCGAAATAAATAATTACTACGTACCGGATGATCAACAAATACCGTACAGTGACATGACATTGTTGATAGACTCAACGGAAAGCAACAATGACGATGAACAAGAGCTTTGGACAATACCAGAAAATGTAATCCGTCTATGGGCTGCTGAAATACTCCTAGCACTGGAAGCATTGCATCAACAGAAAGTTATAATTTTCGATTTAAAGCCTGATAACATATTACTCGATGATAACGGGCATGTGCAATTAACGTACTTTATACCTCGTCACGACGTAGATCTGTTAAAATATAAATATCCGTACTCGTCTCCTGAATTGTACACGTTTTCACCTATAATTCCCCTTACTCCAGCCACAGACATTTGGAGCTTTGGAGTTATTTTGTATGAATTAATAGTAGGCAATGTATGTAGAAATAGTATTTTACTAAATGTGGTAAAAATGTTCTACACATATTTTATTATTACAGAAATTTGAGGAGAAGCACCCAGGTGTATTTCAACCACATTCCATGATTAACATTCCTGGAAAGCTTTCAGAAAATGCAAAATCCTTACTACTTAATGTAAGTTTCAAAATCATATTTTAAAACTTCAACAATTTATGTTAAACTGTATACAATTTTTAGATACTGAAGTATGAACCAAATGAGAGAATGACAATACCAGAGATAAAAGAACATCCATTCTTTAAAGATATTAACTGGTCAAGTTTGGTAAATACTTAAAGATATAAACGTTTCTTTCTTGTTTCATTTTTATAAAGTACATTAGTATTAGAAAAATTCTAAATAGTGGATTCCTATCAAAGTTTTGAAACGTTTTTTGTAAAGCAAAATATAAATTTCGTTAAAATTTCTGCATACTTAAAGAAGAAATATATTATAAGTTTATTATCTAATAGGAAATAAAAAGCCATTAAATACGTTTACATTTTACAAATATATTTTTATTTTATCAAAATATTTTATCGTGGAGTCCAGTGTTTAAAATTTTGTTTAACATTTATAAAATATATGTATATTTCAAGTTTAATTTGTATAAAATATTCTATTATTGTACAGAAATATTATTTAGAGATTATTAAACTTGTACTAACGTCTCATCGATTAAAATAATAGATTGCAACTTATTTATACAAATAAACTTATAATCAATTGTTAATTGTAAAGACCAGAGTTATTGTTTAGTAAAATAAATTCACGTCAAAATATAATACCTTTACCTATGTTTTCCCTTTTCACTTCTAGATACCGTTGACATTCCGTCAACGAACCTAGTTGTAAATATTACATTAGCATTGTTGAACATTCCATCCTTCAATGACACAACAATAAACTGTGAATGTTTGAAATGTCTTTTTAACATTATTCCAATATTCTCTGTGTGAGAAAGATCCAAGGCGGCGTCAACTTCATCCAAAATATAAAGAGGTGCAGGTTTAAATAACAGCATAGCCAAGATTAAAGATAAAGCCACCAAAGATCTCTGCCCTCCAGATAATTCTCCCAATGATTCTTTCCAAACTCCAGAAAATGCAATTTTCACTTCTAAACCTTCGGTGACTGTTTGATTTTCAGGAGGTTGTAATTTTGCATCGGCTCCTGGTAACAAGCTACTAAATATCGATCCAAAATCTTTGTTTACCTATAAATGAACATGTTATAATTAGAACATACACTGGAAGCATATAAATTTAGTTCAACATACTTGTTCCCAAGCTTTAAGTAATGTCTCTTTCTTCTTTTCATCCAAATGTTTAATTGTTTCCAATATTTTCCTCTTATCGTTTTCAACTATTTTCTTTTTCTTTATCATTTGATTGTATTGTTCTTCTTCTTTGTCAAGAAGACTAATAGCTCGTGTATTGATGTTTCGACTTAATTTTTCACGCATGTTCTGTAACCGGTGTACTTTCTGTTCCATTTCATTGGGTTTGTTAACTTCAAAATCGTATATGCCACCTACAAAATATAATCAAATATTTTAAACTCTCTATTCAAAAATCAAATAATTAAAACAAGAATCATTACCTGCTTTTCCAAAGTAAACCTTGTCTTGTTCAATCCACTCGTATTTTCGTGTAAGTTCAGAAACTTTATGTTTGCAATCCGTAGCAGTGTTTTTAATAGAATTAATTTCATGATTTAAGGTTTTAATATCCAATTCTGCTTCTTTATTTTGCTTTATGATTTCTTCCTTTCTGTTCATAAGCTTCTGCATGTAAGCATTTTGTTTATGAATAATATCTTTCTTCGCTTTTATTTCTGACTGTATACGCTCTATGTTTGCGTTTGATTCTTCTAGGTCTTTGCCTAACGTAGTTACTTTCTCTTGTAGATCATTCAACTTTTCTTCCAAAGCCACTAACTGTTCCTTTCCAGCTTCAATACTTTTCTGCAATTCTTTAATTTCCAACTGAAGTGTTTCTGCTTCCTGCTCTCGCTTCTGCCACTCCTTACGGCTATTCGCAGCTTTTTTCTTTAATTTTTCTAATTCAACTTCAGCTTGTTTCAATTGTTTCTCAAGAATGTTAGATGCGTCTTTCAATTGATTTTCTAATTCTTTAGCACGTTTACTATTTTCTTTCTCATTCTTTTCAGCTGTTATCATCTTCTCCGTCAGCTCTTCGATACCCTTTTCTAAAGAATCAATCTATAAAAATAATACATACAGTAATTAATATTTTATTTACACGTTTAAATTGTGATTCTTACCTCTTCCTTTACTTTATAATATTCTGTCTGTGCCAATTTTTGCTTTATCATACTGATTTCATAATTTCGTAGATCAAATGTTTGTTTTAATGACATGTATTTTTCCGCGACACTATTTATGTTCATTAAAGTAGTCTCGATATTTTGAAGCTCTTGCAGTTTAGTATTTAATTCGTTTTGTATAGCCTTTAGATCTTCTAATTTTAATAGAACTGATCCTGTTTTTACTGGTGCACCACCAGACAAAGTACCAGCAGGATCAACAACGTCCCCTTCTAAAGTGATACACTTTTTCTTGATATTGTCATGAAACGCTATCTTTTTGGCTGTCTCAATGTCCTTGCAAATAAATATCTGCCCAAATATCCAAGTCATAGCTGATTTAGTTTCGTTTGGAAAATCTATAAGAGACAGTGCTGGCTGAACATTTTCTGCACCACCTATTTTCTGAGCCAAATGAACTAATTGGTTGTCCATTGGTCTTCCATTTACCTTGTTCAAGGGGATAATAGTAACACGTTGTTGCAGTTGACCATGCTGAAGTAGTTTCTTGCCATTAATTTCTGTATCTACTATGATATTATATAACTAAAACATAATCAATTGAAATCTAAGATTAAACACCTTACAACTTGAAAATAGATGTTCAAATATATCTAAATTACCTTTGCTCCTGCAGCAATATCTAAAGCGTAGGCTGCTTTCTTATCTCTAACAGTGATTAATTTACATACAACTCCTTTCACAGAGTTTTGATTAAAATTAGGTTCAGGTTTTTTGTACTCAAATCTGATTTTAGGATATTGCGATTCAAAATAATCTGCTTTTTCTTCCAAAGTCCTTATTTCATTCTTCAATGTATTTCTTTGGTTCTTCAGTTGTTCTACACATCCATCTTCGTAATTTAACTTCGTCAATTCATTTTCCAAATTTTTTACTTCTTTCTCTTTGTTCTCAAGATCTTTGTTGTATCTTTTGTACTCATCGTCGGTGTTTTTCATTTCGGCTTTTTTCTTCTTTAACTGTTCTTTATTATGACTCAGAGTCATTTCACATTGTTTACGCTGTGTTTGTGCTTCTGTCATGTTTTGTTTAGCAGTTATTATCTGCTGTTCTAAGGTTGCATTTTCACCATCTTGACTTTGCAATAAACCGGCACTAATTTTTTGATACTTTTCTTGTGCAATTAGTACTGCTTCGCAGTCTTTTTGATCCATTTCTTTTAAGCTTTTAAATAATCCTTCAACTTTTGCGTATTCTGCCTCTTTTAACGTGAACGCATTTTCATCGTCCTTTATGTTAGCTTTTAGTTGATCCACTGCTTTTTTGGCAGCTTTAATACTTTCTTTGTTACTATTATTTTCTGCTACTAATTTACAGTGAGCTTTTTCTGCATCTTTTAACTCTTTCTCTAGTTCTTCCAAATGGCCTCCAGCTTCCTAAAAGAAATAGAATAATTCAAAATATGTATAAAATAAACTTGTTTCTCCAATATGGCATACTTACTGCATCCTTCTTTTTGGCTGCTTCATCAAATTCTTTCTGAATATTTTTAAGTTCCTCTTCACCAGCAGTAATACTTTTTTCCTTCTCTTCTATTTTGTTCTTAACAGATTGTACATTTTCTTCAGCTTTCTGACTTTCGTTAAGAGCTGTAACATAACGCCAAGCAAGACAAATTCTTTTACAATGTTCTAATTCTCTTTCTATACGTTGAAATTCTACATATTGTGTCTTTTCTTCTTTCAACTTTGCTAACTTTGGGCCTATTTCTTCTTTCAAAATCTGAAACAGCAATTATTAATTAACTTTTGCAAAGAATAAAATGAATAATTTCAAAGAAAGAGATCATACATCATTTATTTCTTTTAATTTACTGTCCTTCTTCTCAATAGTTTTCAAAGCAACTTCTTTCTTGTTTTCATACATTCGTGTACCCGCAGCTTCTTCTATCATCGATAAAATTTCAACAGGTTTCATGTTTAAAACTTTTGTAATTCTTCCTTGCATTATCAAAAAATGAGGATTGTTTACATTCAATTGCACAGAACAGAACATGTCCTGTACACGTTTGTTCGGTACATTAGAACCATTAATCAAATATTTATTTTTACCACCTATTACAACTTGTCTTGTGACTGTAATTTCTTCATGGTGTTCATACCCCATAGGGGATGAATTTCTATCTCTATTGTCAAATGTTAAAGTAACGCTGGCTTTCTTAATGCCTGCTTGTCCAGATTTATAAACTAAGTCTTGTAACGATGCCGCACGTACCTATAACAATTAAGATAACATTAATTTTTTGTATGACATATGCCATATGTAGGAGGAATATTAATAATAGCAGGCATAATTTATCAAATAAAGCATATATTAATAACATAACTTTAAGAAAAGAATATTTGTTTAAAAAATTATTTATTAAAATAATAATAGCATTTATAAATTGAGAATACATTAAGGTTACAATTTGAAAAATGTATAAATAAAGAAATAGCAGTAATAGTATCATACCTGGCCAAGATTTGTAATACCCAAAACAAAACATATTCCATCCAGGATATTTGATTTCCCGCTACCATTGAATCCTGTAATCGCATTGAATTCTTTATCGAAACCGTTTATCTCAATTCTTTTTCCGTATGATTTAAATCCTTCTAATACCATAGACTTAATATGCATCTTGAACTCAGATTAATTACAGATTAAATTAGAAATATATTGTAATTCGACTTAATGCTACAAACAAAACTGCAAATTCAAATTCTGAGCTTTGTCCAGTACAATCCATTGTTCTGAAAAATATAGAGAGGAAACAAGCAAGAAACGATGGAGACTCTCTTCGTGCAAAAAATCTCGTATTTATTTTTAAATGTACATTTATATTTGTATAATTTCATTGAAATTAAGTGATTTTTACATTTCTAATTCAAAATATTATATATTTAGAAGAAATTGTTGTTCGTTCCATGGGAGATGAAATTCATCAAATTGTTTCTTCTGCGCATATTTGTTCTCATTGGTTCAACAAACTTTGTAACCAAGAGCAACACGCAAGCGCTTTTAGGATGTTTACTACACCAAGTGTGTATACTTGGTGATCTTTTATTTCGCATACTTCATATATCATCACTTTTCATCCTTATTCACTTATTTTCGCCCACTATATACATAACCGATAGAATAGAAAGCACATGGTGACAGAATAGCACAAAATGACGGGGAGCCCATTGAAGTTAGTCAAAATGCGCGAATTGGACATAGCTTTCTCATTCGCATTGAATTTAAATAGTTTTTCACAAATAAATAATGATATTTTGATACATTTTTAATCAACGGAATACATATTTATGAGAAATAATTATATTTCAATAAAAGTTCCTATAAAGATACCGCTCAGGTCAGGTTAGGTTCTATTACTACGCATGAGCGGGAGATTAGCGATATATCGTAATGTTATGCATTTGAATTTTTAGTCAAAATCACATTCGATTGTTCGAAGGGTTATTCGCTTTTTAAATACGCTGCAAAGGTACAGATAACAATTTATTTCTATAATTCTATGTATTTAATTAACAAATATTTTAAAATTTTTATAAATTAAAACTAATAGTGAAAGTAATATAGAGTTAATTACAATTTAAGGTTATAGTGAACTGTCACACAATAAATTAAACCTTGTAATACTTACAGGTAATTATATAAATTGTGTTCTATTTGTTATTAGAATTAATATGAACATCCCACCTATTCAACAACCAGGAGCAATGGGGGTAGGGCAGATGACCCAACCTGTAAATCCTCAGATTCCCCAAAATCCACAACAAACACAACAGCAACAAGTTCAACAACAACAGCAGCAGCAACAGCAACAACAAACACAAGAGAAACTAGACAATATTTCTAAAGTAAAATCATTAATTGGACCATTAAGGGAATCATTAGCCATAGCCCTTAAAACTGCAGCACATACTTTACATCAAAACAGTTTAGTGGATGTCGGATCTCTTAAGGGCATTGACCAGCCTGATCATCGTTTCAATAAAAATATGGAAGAGTTTTATTCCATTTGTGATCAAATAGAATTACACTTGAAGACTTCTATAGAATGTCTATCACAGAATTCTAGTTCCTTAAGATATCTTCCAGTGTCTGTCATACCAACACGTACTGACACTGTTGGAGCTCAGGAAGGACCTGCCTTAACTTATCCTCAATTCCTGATGACCGTAAGAGCACAAGTTGCATATGTTCGTGAAATTCATGATACTTTAGTTTCTGCTGCACATTCGATAACATCTGGTGAATAATTTTTTTAGGAAATATATTTTTATTAGTAATATTGTAAGTAATATTAATTTAAAGTTATAATGTTTCGTGTAAAATGGGCCACTTGAATATTCTCTGTTTGTGATAAGAGAAATATTTCTTGTTATTTAAATGATTTGAAGAGATGGAAGAATTTATTTTTTTACATATTCTTCAAGATTATAGTTTTTCATAGATGGAGACATTTGAGTGGTGTTTAACTTGAAATATACATTGTATATTTAAGTACATGTAAGAATACTTTAGCTCTTATTTGTGTGATTTAATGTATGCTTGACTTTGTACATACCATAGATATTTTGATAATACTGTATTGTAAAAAAATGGATATCTTTTATATTTTGAACAATTATAAGAATATATTGGAATGTTTAAACTTGAAGTATTGTTTCTGTTTTTCAGTTATATTTAGAAATACTTTATTTTCAAGAATTGAACTACATGCATATAATAAAATTTACATTTCCATGGATGTATTACTTATACAGGTTCTCAATGTGAGATGTAAGGAAGTAAGTCAAAGATATGTCAAACTAAATACATTTAAGTATACTCTGTTGTTTAAAATAGATGAGTTCGCATAGTTACAAAAGATTATATCAAAACTAGGAAATTTTAATGAGTCAACCTATAAGTAGGTCAAATCTTACAAAGTTCTACTTATGTCCGCTCTGTACTACATCCACATATCATTACAAATAGTAAAACATGATTTCCAATATGACAATATGTTAATATTCATTTAAACCTAATTAGTGCACTGATACCTTAACAAGCAGAAATTTCGCAAAAGCAGTTTTTCTCACTGCAGATCCAAATCCGCATCTCGATCACGCCCTACAAAAACGAGGGTCATTAGCATAAACGTAAACAAACGTTAACAAAAGCAGCAAAGTTTAAATACAGTAAGAAATAGCAGCGTAACGCAGAGAGAGCCGCTTATCAACCGTATGTTTTAGCAAGCACGTAGAAATAGGAAGGATATACCGGTAAAAGAGGGAGGGAGGAGAGGCGTGCAGGAAGCGCTACTGTCAGTTGGATTGGTGTTTTGTCGCGGCGCGCCGAGTGATCATTTGAAAAGGAAGGACCACCTCTGTTCACCATATTTGGCAAACTTTCCCTAATATGGTAACGTCTACTTCTAAATATGGCAGCCGGGGACGCCCTCTCGCTCGTTCCTGTATCACTCCGCGGCCAGTTTCAACGTCGAATTTCGGGATAACGAAGTCGCGAAAAAGCGATTGGCCGGCGAATCGTGGACCACGATCGCGCCGTCGATTTTTCCACGAGCGAATTTTCCGCGATCTTTTCGCGATAAGTCCGGTCGCGATTCGATGGACTACTTTTTTACCGCGTGCTCGAAAAGTGGTGGGGGTAGCAGCTGCGCAGGAACGTACGGAGACACCGCGTTAGCACGTAGGTCAAGTTACGATACTCGGCGCGCATTCAGTTCGCGGGGAGCGCTCGTGCAGTGCGCGTTGTTGTCCCGTGTTCCTCTAGATGATTGATCACGTGGGAAGCATTGCGCCGAGTTTTCGCGATTCCGTGGCGGAGAAGGGCCGAGGGAAAGGGAATAAATGTGTGCGAGTCCGTGATGGACAACCCTAGCGGCGGAAGAGATAGTCGGTACGCGAGTCTCGGGTACAGCATGGGGATGATAGGCAGCGACGCTAGCTCGGAAATGTACGGCCGACCGTCCACCTCCCAGCTTACAACTTCTCAAATAAGCCGCAGTGGCGCCACTATGATGGCCGCGGCTGCTGCGGGCGCGCCGAACGCCGGCGTGGGATCCGTACAGAGGGGTATCAAGAGGACCACCTCGGACGTCTGTTACGATGACAATAATGCACGGCAGGCCCTCTCGCAACAGCAAGGCATGTCGATGTCAGGCGATTGTGTACCCGACAATCTCGAGGAGTCGTTCACCAGTTTGGGCCAGCCGAAAAAGTCACCCCCATCGAACGGCAAGAAGACCAAAGGACGGGTTAAAATTAAAATGGAGTACATCGACAATAAACTGCGACGGTACACCACCTTCTCCAAAAGGAAAACCGGAATCATGAAGAAGGTTTGTATCCCGCAAACCTGTCGACCCGTATTTACGTTCGCGTAATAAAAAGTGCGGTTCGAATGTCTGTCACCTGTCGACTATCGATCGCCGCGATCGATCTGTGCGATCGTAAACTGTGTTCGGAACTGCTGTTTTTCGATTATACGTAATTCGATACATCGATGATACCGTTTAAATTGGAGTGGCGGAAGTAGAAACGTGGTATTTTGTTGTATGAATTTAATGATTCCTGTTTGAAATTCCAGTTATGTTTCTAGTTGAAACGAGAATAAACAGAGATGAATCAAACTTAATGATCCAAACTAATCTAGCTTAATCAACTTGTACTACACAATTTGACTTAACTTATGCTAATCTAACCTAATAGATTTCAATGATGAAACTTCATATAATTTAAATTTGTAAACTAATCTGATTTTAACCAGTACCCTAACTTTATTTTAACTTAATAAACTTGAATAATAAAATCTAACTTATTCTAATTTAACCTAACCTACACTTCCATGTATGATGAAATCTGACCGATATAGTCCAAGCAAATCTAACCTAACCTGACTAACTTTACCGGTTCTATCCTAACCTACATTTGAATAATAAAATTTAAACTAGTAACAGAATGATGAAACTAAATATAAACTAATCTAACTGAACATAAATTTAAATGAACTAACCTAACCTTACCGGTGCACAATTTTATTATTCAAATCTAACTTTTGATTTTTGTTTGGCTGAGTTATGGTAAACGTATTACATTCTATTTCAGTTATTATCGATATATCGTTAAATATTTGATAGTAAATATATTGTTAAATAATAAGATCAACAGAGTATCGATATATTTGTAAATAGTGGTAAGATATCGATATCGATACGTCATGAAATGTTAAACTATTGCTAATGTATTGATATGTCATTAAATATTAATAAGATATCGATGTATCGTTAGTTATTAACACATTATGGATAATGTCGGTATATCGTTAAATATTGAAACATCGATATATCGATGTATGCTAAAATATTAAAATATCGATAATGTAGCTTAAACATAAGACATTCGTACATCGATATATGGTTAAATATTAAAGTACCAATAATTTATCGATATATCGTTAAATATTAATACGATATCAACGGTGTATCGATAATCGATAGCAGTTTACTTCGCAACATTCGCAAGTATTGAAGGAAAAAGATTACACGAGGCAAATTAAAAGTCAGTTTCGTGACACGTAGAACAAAAAAGAAACGTGCATTATCGTCGTGTGGATACGCGAATTGTGCACCGAACTGATGAGTTTAGCGAGCACGCCGGGAGCGCGCGATTTATGAGTGACAACTGTGCCTCGATGACGTGTATTTGTACGCCAACAACGTATCCGCGTATTTTGGATTAAAATATACCGAGCAAAATTGCTACTTTGTACGCAGCGCGTGTTCCTTTTCGATCAGGAAAATGCTCGGAAGCTTGTGGTAAATTCTGACGATTAGGAAACGATACGGTTAGAAAATCGACCGTTATCATTCGAATTCCGTTCGGTGGACGCTCGTCGAAAATATACTGGATCGAATTTCACGTTCTAGGACGGTTTTTTGCCGCTCGTTAAACCTTTATTCTCAGGTTCTGTTCTCGGTAACGCAACTCCCAATGTTAACGTTTATTTTGTATTTCAGGTAACGGACTACGGTTGAATAAATGCGTATTGAATTAAATTATGTTTCCTTGTTTTCGACAAATTACTGTTACGTCTTCAAAGAGGTATTCTCAATGTTTGCTCTAGAAAAATGTGCTGTTTTAAGTATCTCTTTTTTAACGCGATAAAGCAGGCGTCTATGAATCATTTTGAATTAAATTTATCGTTTTTATTTGCAGATGTTTATTTGATCCAAGTTTCGTGGTATCTGAATCCGTAGAAGAACCTAAAGCAAATTGCATCTTTCATACGAATATAGAAAACCAAAGATAGATTGTTCCCCTTTTCTAAAGACGGGTCTCTATAATTAGCCATGTTTTGACACGAAACTGACATAATTGCTTTACAACGTCATTACAAAAACGATAACCTAAATTGAACTTTACTTAAACTTAACTTTATTTATAAAAAGGAATAACATAAATAATAAATTTAAACACACTGAAATAATACTGGGTAAAGTATTGAACTAACAAAAGTTGAGTATTATGAAAATTATAATTAAAATGAATACTTGAAAATATAAAAATATAAACAAAGTACAATATTTGGTACAAATTTAGTTTCAAGCTTTTGGTAAATTTGTCATACATTTTATATGACTTTTTATTTATTTTTGATAGATACAGTTAATGTAATTTCTTATGACAAATTATTTATTATTATAAATTAATATATGTATCAAAATAATTACTAACTTAATTAATTACATAAGCAAGTATAGATAATTAGCTTATACTGATACTTGTTGATTTATTAATTTAACTAAAAAAACATACATTAAAGAATTTAATAATAAAATGTAGAAAATATCATTGCTTTTTAATTAATAATTAATAACAAATAATAACTTATATATTACAATATAAAAAAAATGGTAACAAAATAAAAATAGCTGTAAAATTGTGCTATATAGAAAAGTAAAAAGTATGAGTTTCAATTTATGTCAATTTAATATCTAACTTTGCATACTCTTTTGCAGAACACTTTCTTCAACAGCAAATGCTGATCTAATAAACTAGAGACCAGAATTTCATAATGTCCAGCTATGATTATTCATTTTCGTTACGTTGTTCTTTGAAGCAGTGTGGTTTCTCATTACCAGAATTTTACAATTCAGATTGGAATTATATATACAAGGTTTTCTCCAATGAGCGTTGGTTTTCACTGATAAAAGAAAGAATTCCATATAAGTTGCATCGCGTAAACGCTTCAGAAAACCTTGGTAATTATAATGTCGTTAAAGGAATGATCTCCGCGGGAACAGGAGTGTAAACACAGTTTTTTTTCCGCGCGCGTTTCGAATTAATTATTTATAAAAATCGCACGCTAATGGTTGCGCAGGCGGCAGGAATCTGCATAAGTGCGCTCTATAAAGATCTGAATACATCAGGTGCACGTGATACCGGTTAACCGTTCAAATGTCCGCCAGCGAAATATTACTTTCGTTCTTCAAGGATTTAACTTACAAATCACAATTTCTGATTTTTCACTCAAGTTTCCACTTTGCTTCTGAAACTTTGTCTAAATTGTAGTCATTGACTTCATCATCAAATGCAACCACACTTATTTAGGATACTTAATAACCAGTTGGATAAGTAGCTAAATAAGTTGTTAGACAAGTTGCTAGACAAGTTGCCAGATAAGAGGCTAAGCTTGTAGCTAGATAAGTAATTAGACATGTAGCTAAGCAAGTAGCTAAATGAGTTGCTGGACAAGTAGTTAAACATGTGGTTGGGCAAACATTCAGGTAGATGACCAGACAAGTAGCTAAAAAGATAGAGAATTAATCAAATCAACGGACAAGTAATGCAAGTAAGTCGAATCAGACTGCTAGACAAGTAGTAATGCTAGTAGCCAGACTGATCAGGCTGGTGGTCAGACAAGTAGTAAGAAGTCTGACAAATGGTCAGGGTACTCAGACAAGTAGTGGGTCATATACCAGACAAGTGGGTACAATCAGACAAGTAGAGAAGTAGTCAGACCAATGACCAAGTAGCTATGCATACATACAAACTATGTATAGTCAAACACAGTGGATAATTAACCAGATATTCAGGCATGTAGTCAGACAGATAGACAAGTTGACAGACAAATGGTGAAACAAGTAGTCTGAAAAATGAACAAACAAATAGTTAGCCAAGTAGGTACAGTAATGATCAGACATGTAGTGGGTACTTAGCCAGATATTCAGACATTTAATCAGATCTATTCAGTGCTCAAATATTTTCCCAGTCTATTTACTGTAAATAGAGGAAGGTTCGCTGCACCTCCACTTTTAACAAAAGTCAGAGTCAGCTTCCTGAAAGTTCAAGTATTCACCAGGTCCCTTCACTTTTCCCTACAAGTCTTTCAGCAAACGAGTTCACAAAAAGCACGTGGAAAAGGGGAGCGGAAACAACGTTGGGATGATCGAAAGAAGAGTCTCCCTCATCCTTAATTAATCATTGTTTCTGGTTGCAGGCCTACGAGCTGTCGACGCTGACAGGTACACAGGTGATGCTGCTGGTGGCGAGCGAGACCGGTCACGTGTACACATTCGCAACCCGCAAGTTGCAGCCGATGATAACTAGCGAAGCCGGGAAGGCTTTGATCCAGACCTGCCTGAACAGCCCGGA